CATTTTTCGGTGAAAATCTGAGTAATTTTCCTGTGTGAAAATTCGAAAAAAAACAAAAATGGTCGGATAGGATTAAAAAGTTATAGCGTTCGACTCAGTTTTGAACGCTGATTCGGACTATGATACTTTTATTGTATAAGAAAATGAGTTTTGATGGAGAAAATTAAGGATTATAGGTAGAAGTCTCATTTTTTTCTCTCCTGATTTAGAAAAAAATGAATTTTCTCAGGGACAAAGCAAAACGGAAAAGAAAGCTATTCATATTTTTGTTGCTCGCAGTGTGGCGAATTGAACGAAATAAAAATGGAAGCTCAATAACTTACTCACAAAAACAAGATAGGTTTCCGAAATGGCACGTAGCCCTTTTCAGGTTTCAACTTCGAGTCAAATGTATTTTGATCATGCTACATTTGAGCGATTCTGAATACAGTTTTCTATAGTCAGTTTCACACGAAGAATAAGAAAAAATTAGTTTAGAGGACTAAAAGTATCGAAAAAAAATAAAACTTTAGCATATTTTTCAACATATACCTGTTTTACTTCAAAATGGAGTATTTCACCATTTAGAATTTTTTTGCACGAAGAATACTTTTTGAAAAGCTAAAGCTTATTTTTTTATAGCCATTTTCATGCCCTCTATCTAACTATGTACAAAAAAGCGAAAAAAAAAATTTGCTATGATTTTGAACTGCCGGCGCCTTATGAGCAGATTAAGGTTTTCAGTTTCGCTGTCAGTTGAGAATCTCTCACAAAACAAAAGGAATTTTCAGGAATAACAAGAAACTTCAATTTTTTTTCCAAACGTTCTCTGTTATCTACGTTCTTAATGCATGCTTAGACTGTCTATTGATCGGGTGTCTTTGAGCATCCTCCCACTGTTGTCCTTAATACTGAATTTTCAGTAAACTTCTATTCGTCTCAGACAAACTCTAGTGAAGTACTTGATTTCTTGGTGAGTACTTGGAAAAATGGGCAAGTATTTTCGAAATTACTCATTTGTAAGTACTTCTCAATTATTGCAGTACTTGGTTTTATAGTAACGAAGTACTTCGTAAAACTACCTATCAAGTAAGAAGTCTAACTAACTACTTTCAAGTGAGGCAAGCAATGACAAATAAAACTTACCAGTAAAAAGAAAGTAAAGAATTTTCATGCAAAAAATAACTTTTTTGTAAAAAGGCTTTGAACTTTCTTCCCAAAGTATCATTAACTCTAGTAACATCTCTAGCTAGTAGAGTTTTGCTTTTTATTAAATGCTCTACTAACTCAAAAATGTTATTTTCTAGCTGACAAGACAATTTTAGCAGCAGATCTTGCTGAAGCGAAAATAGAAGGAAAACATCCAGCAAACGATCCGATTGAAAAGGCTAATCGTGAAAATCAAGCGCATAGTCCATCACAAGCACAGTCGACAATTGCGGAAACACCAACAGTAACACCTGCTGAAGTGAATGAAAAAGATAAAGGTGGCAAATAAATAAATATGTTTTAAAACAGACACTAACAGTTACTTGAATAAAACCGTTCACTCGATTTATTTTTATGTTTTTTTAAACATTATTCTAGCTTTGCACATAAAATTCTAGTTTTCTATTCCGTTTGTTCACCTATTCTCATGTTTAGTTTTCAGATCGATATTAAAATATTTTCTGTGGTTTCTGAAGTAAGGAATTTGTTAAGAATCCATCGATTTATTTTATTATAGAAAAAATAAAATCTGTGAAAATAAGCTTAGATGAAGCTAAATACGATCTGCATTCAAAAATTTCCCATATAAACTAAAATCTGGACTTGAAGTAAGTATTCAAACAATAAGCTTTATGGCATACTAGTAAGCATAAGTTTCTGCCCTGACACTCAAGAAAGAAGAAAAGTGGGACCATTAAGGACTCCTCACCGCATTCCTGTTAGAAATATAGACTATTATTAATAGAAGGTAATGACTCAAGCACATGCTTGAATAGTTCAGGACTCATACAATCCCCAGGGATAAAAAAATGCGTTAATGGTTTCAAAACCAACGCTTTTTGTCGTTGGTTAATGGTTTTTTGTCGTTTAAACGCGTTTTCTTTATCTATTCATTTGAAAACGCGTTTTTCGATGAATGTGAGCGGCAAGGAAAACGTTAATTAACGCGTTTTGAAATGATTTAAAAATAAAAAAGAGGGAAGATACAGAGGTTTGAACTATCAACTTTTGTCCCACTATTCTTCCACTTTTCCCATTCGGCCATATCCTTTTGACATTACACTGGCTGACAACAAAGTAATGGAGAGCAGTAAAATGACTACTTAACGAAAAACTTTCAACTTCAAGGGAAAATCGTTATAAACTGCATGAAAAGCGTGTTAGCAAACGATCGTTAAAAGAGCCGTTTAAACGTGTTTTTTGTCGTTCAGAAGTTTAGAATAGCGCATTCTTGGACAACGCGTTTGCTAACGATCGATAAATTAACCGTTTCCTGGCGTTTTTGTTGAACGCGCTTTCTAACGACATTAATATGGTCGGTGAAACGCGTTTATTTTATATAAAAACGGGTCTAAATATGTCGTCTCTAAACGCGTTTACAAAAAGAAAAAAAATCGAAGATATATCGTTTTAACGTCGTTAGAAAACGCGTTCAACAAAAACGCCAGAAAACAGTTAATTTAACGATCGTTAACAAACGCGTTATTTTAAACTTTTAACAAGAAACGCGTTTAAACGGCTCATTTACGTTCGAAAAAAACGCGTTTTTTGTGCCTTTTCTAACGTGCTTGCCGTGCGAGTTGAAGATATCGATGATGTTCTCGTGGACGATTAATCGACGTTTGAGCGACGGATATTTCACCTCCCGACATGAAACCTGAGAGAAGTTATGTGGTAAATAGTCATTATACGATCCAGTTACAGATGTACAGTTTCGCGTGATCAAAATATGTTTTGTGTGAAACTATTTTTTTAGTAGTAGGTAACACCACGACACACTGCCGAAAATATCCAAATGTGTACTACGAAAAATTCGTGAAAGAGTCGAATCCTGTTTGTGGTAATGTCGCGACATTACCACAAACGTCGCACAGTGGGCATTTAGGCGGCGTTTTCTGAAAAAATCGTAGGTGCGAATTTTTTTGTTTTGAATAGTGGTGTATATAGTATAAACAATTCCCTATTTAATGATAAAAAATTTTTTGTTCTAGCT